TAAAATAAAGCAAACGAGTGAAAATATCTGCACGTGAAACTACGTATCGAATTGTCACAAGCCAACGTGTTCAGGCGAGTTGGTTAGGAAACATCGCAACGTCAGGTCACATTTGTTCCAGTTCTTTGCATTCGAATACCTTTCGGACACTGCCTAATTCCTTGAAATCTGAGACTCAAGTTGCTGATAATAATGAAAAAAAAAAAAAAGATTATAGTCAGTGACAAGTTAAGAGGGAAATAGGAGCGAGTCTCATCTCTCTCCACTTTACAAGAGCGATTGCTGGAGGAGAAGTAACCACCTCTCAAGCGTTCGCTCTGCTAATGTGGAAAAAGAAGGGAGGAGCTCCCGCTTAACTCTTAACCTATCACCGACAACAAATGTCCGCTATAGGTCCAAATAAATGTTCAAATATATATAAAAAATATTCTTTCCTTCTGCAGTTTTTTCGAAATGTTATGAGTTCCCGTTCCACCGATGCAAGATGGAACGGCGGCGTTCCTCCCTTCCTCGTAAAAGGAATGCGCTCCAGGAGTGCCGTTTCGTCAACACCGGTGCAGAACAGAAGGGCTCGTGGGAGAAGACAGGACAATAAAGCGTTCCTTTCTGGGATGAATGAACTGCACATGGAAAGGTTTTTGGGATTCAAGCTCAACAAATATCAAAATCTCATTAAATTAGCCATTTCGTAGAACACCAATTACTTTATTTTGTGCCGCGATCGTATCGAAAGCCAGCCGTAACAACGGGCAGACGAAACAGACCAAAAGGGCGCAGCAAACGTAGTCGAAGCCTCACGTAACCAATCGAGGCGACCGAGCAGCGAGCAGACATTGAGAACAGCGTCGGTTCGCAAAACAGTCTGGGACTCTAGCAAAATGGACAATTGGGCGAGTTGGTAAGAGTTCATAATTGCTTACAGCGCGACTGGGACAAGGACACACAGAGGCGAAACACAGAAACACAGGACAAGCGCTGAACTAGCATCTGATTCTATTGAAAAGAAAAGACATCTGATGCTGCTGCTGCTCATGTTTCTCCTCTGTGTTCCTCCTCTGTCTGTCCTTGTCCCAGTCGCGCTGTAAGTAATTATGAGCCTGGGACTCAGTTCTTTTTTAGGCGTTGCTGCTGTGCATGATTTCATGTCGGGTCTTAGGGGTGAAAGCAAGCTTCAGACTTTTGGAGCAGGTCTGGGAGCAACAAAGATGCCCCTTTGAAGCAGCTTTGGAGCGGTAAAAGTTCAGCTTTGGAGTAGCTCAGGAGCAACAAAAATAAAGTTTCGTAGCAGTATAAGCAAATCTTGGAGCTGCTTGGTGCTATGAGCACATGTGTGTTTTTCTAAATACAAAAAGAAAAACTAATACAAAAAGCATCACGATGTGACTTTCCAGATCCATCTACAAACATGACCTTTCATACGTTCCAGCTCATAGATATTTGAATGGCTGCTATTGAGAACTGTCCTGGTGGTAGTGGGTTGGTTCTTCTCATGGCTTTACAATAGTAAGCATAGGCAACTAAAGAAAAGCAACTTACGCCTCATGAAAACAAGACATTTTCACTGTTTAACAACCTAAATCGCACGTTCCATAAGTTAAAAACAAAACCATTTCAATCTGCAATAGTATGGTATGAAATAAAGTCCAGTACTGACTACTGGGTGTATCAAGGAGTGGCCAGGCTCTTTAAATCGACCGCAAAATTCGGTTTCTTAACCTATCGCGCTACGACTTTGTGCAGCGTTGCCCACAAAAGGTGCATTTTTTTTTTTGTGTGTGAAATTTGCAAGGAGTTCACTTTCCTGAGGAAAAATTAAAAAAAAGAAAAGAAAAAGGCTTAGCTCCTATGGAAATGTGGCGAAGCCACTGGTCTTCCAACAATACCGCGCCATTTCGCAAGGGAGACAAGAGATGGCGCAAGCGGTCGCGATGCCAACTGCGCCAACGAACGAGCCTACGGCGCCGAGAGCCGGCGTCTTTAACAGACGAAATTTTCGACTCAAAAGCGGCGCGATCTTTTCTGATATCAGTTGCCAATGCATTTTTTTAGCATCCTTACTGACAAAACATATTGAATGGACACATGATAGATTAGAAAAATGGTTTGTCGGGATATTTTGACTGTTTTTTTTCGGGGTACCGATGTCGTCTGCTTTGCAGTTCCTTGTTGTTACCGCGCCTGTTTTCGTTTCTGCGACTGTCGCCGCCTGCGGAACGCGCTCGGCGTTTGAGTCGAAAAGATTGTCTGCTAAAGACGCTGACTCTCGGCGCCGTATGCTCGTTCGTTTGCGCAGTTGGCATCGCGACCGCTTGGGCCATCTCTTGTCTCCCGTGCAAAACGGCGCCGTACTGTTTGAAGACCTTTGTCTTCGCCGCATTTCCATGACAGCTAAGCCTTTTTCTTTCTTTACTTTTTCCTCGGGTAAGTTCGCTCTTTGCAAATTTTACAAAAAGAAAAATGCACCATCTGTGGGCAACGCTGCACAAAGTCGTAGCACGATAGGTTAAGAAACCGTATTTTGCGGTCGATTTAAAGACCCCAGCCACTCCTTGATACATCCAGTACGGTTCATCATTGGGAAATACAAAAGTTTCAAGTCCCTGTTTAGCAAACAAAAGTATTCCAATACTCTGAACAGAGTACAAATGAAAAGTATTCCAATACTAGTCTACTCTATCTGATAAAAGTACAAATGCAAAATATTGAAAACTTCATGATACCACCTAGTCCTATACCATTCCTGCTCATACATACGCACTTAATTAACCCTTACTAAAAGAGGCATCACTGACTAAATAGAAACAAGAAAGCTTGATTAGGAGTTTAATAAAAGAAGTTGACTGACAAAACTAGCAAGTAAGGCAATAAAACGGAAGGTTTTCCTTAAGTCAATGAAGAGCGCAAGTTTGTCTGCTTCTTGAACAGGGGTTGCGTGACGTCAAAACGCCGAGCTCTTATCGGCTGATTAAAAAAAACATCCTGGGTATATCTCGAGGCACCTAGCATTGAGGTCTACCCACTACCATTTCAGTCAAGACCGTTCAGAGCTTGGCGTCGTTCTGAAGTCACCGCTTCTCCCGTGCAAGAAGCACTCTCAGCATTGCATGGATGCAGAGAGCAAGTTCCGCTTTTTTCTATTCTAAAATTCTAAAGAACGGTTTAGAATTTGCTTCGCTCAGCAGGACATTCCCGCCGTTCTCCGGGTCCTCCCGCCGGCTCGCTGTTTGGGCGTCAGCAGGCGTATTCGCCACGTACATCATTTACAGGAAACTCTACAGTTGATTGAGGCAACCAATTATTGCTTTTATATGTTACGTTTACGACACAATGAGGAACGCGGAAGCAGTCTCAGCAAAAGCACCCCAAACACGCAAAATGTATATCATGCCAAATGTTTATTTTTATAGAGTAGTCATCGCTTGCTTGTTTGCTTGTGTGTCTGTGTGTGAGCGCGTGCGTGCGTGCGTGCGTGTGCGTGCGTGCGTGCGTGCGTGGGCGTGCGTGTGCGTGCGTGCGTGTGCGTGCGTGCGCGTGCGTGCGGGTGTGCGCGTGTGTGCGTGCGTGCGGGCGGGCGGGTGTCGGGGGGGGGGGGCACTATAAAGTACGTGAAACGGAAACTCTTCAACTTCAGTTTCTTAACTTTTCCCTTACCACAGTCTCGGGTTTTAAACATCACGATTAACTATCACCGGCTCGCCTGCGCACTCACTGCCTTTTCGTTACTGATACGTATCGCAGACACGGCGAACTCGCGTGTGCAATAAGTGCGTGGGAATTCGCTAGGAACTCCCCTGTCACGGGTACGGCAGCAGAACGCAGACGCGGTGCATTCGCGTTTCACAGTGCGATATAGACGCAAGAACCCGGCCCCCTCAAACTCGGGTGTCACTGGAACTGATATCGTGCGCCAAAATCAGACAAAAGAAAGAATGCGGGAACGAATTTGGAATTTGCAAGTCATGGTACGGATGCTGTAGACTCGCGTGTCATGGTGCGATAAGCACGAGGCAACCCGCGGCGAGCACACTTGTCGCGTACCGATACCGCAGATCACGCAATAAAGAAAATTTAAAAAAAAAACGAAAAAAAAAACGGGATGTGTGATTTTTGGGTAGTGGACGTTTGCACGAGGCTTTACGGCGATTTAATGCGTGTGTGTCGTATTTCGAATACACTCAGTCATGCTCAATGCCACTGTGCGCAAAAAAAAAAAAAAAAAGAGATTAAGTGAATGACGATACGATGCATCGAAGCATCGTCTCGTCGTTTGTCAGAGTTCTGATGAGTACAATGACAAAGCGACCTGTGCATGTGCCATTTTCGGAGATCAGGCGTACACGCCGTTGACACGACCACATCGGTATGGTTGTTTCATAGCAATAGGGCCTTTTAGCAAACCGTTACCGCGTACCGCGCTCTACCGGAGGGAGCCTTTGAAGCCTGCTTTGAAGCGCGCGCCCCGCGGTCACTGTATGGAGGATCGGGCGCGCGCTTATAAGCATGTTTCAAAGGCTTCCGTAGTGCGCGGTACGCGGTAACGGTTTGCTGAAAGTCTCTATTTTTAAAGAATTACCTAAACAAACACAACACGGTAAACCACTGTGGCCGATAAAAAAAAAAGTACTCCTAATACATAGCCTGAAAAAAAATTCTTGTTCGGCTAGTTTTGGCGCAACATGTGCGCTTGGGAGCAGGATGGCACAGCAAAAGTGGATTGGCGCACGGTGGCGCAATTGGCGCAGCGCTTCCACCCCTGATATTATTGGACATCCTTGCAAGCCGGGGATTCATTGCCTGACAAAAGGAAGAGACACACCCACCCAATCCGAAAAAAAGGTGGGAGAGCGTGGCTTTTGTAAGTGCACACAAGTTGAGAGTTTTTTTTCTCACAACACAAAAAGAAAAAAAAATTTATTCTTTCAAGAATTACGTAATCGGGGAAACTATATAAAGCGAACACGTCTGCCCATATTGCCACTGCGTTTGAGACGTCGTCAACGATGCTGGCCCTCAAACATTTGGTGTTCTGCCTAAGCCTTTCTGCGGCATACGCCAACGTAGAGTTTGATAGTTGGAAGAAACCGCCGGACAACAATCCTGACCTGAACAGAGAAAAGCTCGGCGCGATGCAGGATGCCTGGAAGGTATGATTTATTTTCACCGGCGATATCAATTTTTGTAACAATATTAGCCATCTGCCTGCTCATAAAGCGATTGCTGTTTCAGTCGAGATCCTCTTTATATTAGTAATTGGAGACGGCAGCCGGATAACCGTGTGAATACATGTACCCGAATAATGTCCCTGCTGAAAACAAACCTCATTGCGTAGTAAAAAAAATGCCGATTGCCTTAAACTGTTATAACCGGAACCGCTAGTTACGATTTGTTCTCAATTTTTATTTTTCACTAACGTCTTGCGTTATCTTTGGACGAAGTCTGAGCCTTCGAGGATGCGTAGAAGTTTTTAACGTTTGGAAAGAATGCAGTTACATTTTATTGGCAGCGGCTTGATATCGTGGTTTCCCAGGTGGCACATATTTCAAAGGATAATACAATAAAACGCCATGGCTATAATTAAAGCCAGCTGAATGAAGGTAAATCAACGCTGCCATTTTTGTTACTTAATATCAATATTGCCTGTTTGTTTGTTTCTTCGGACATTTTTATTTATTATGTTACTTTTACAAGCACGAATATTGTTGTTAAAGCCTTTTTAGTAAAACATATAAAATAGCGCACCAGAAAGACAAGGACAAGAAGTATACAGGACAGGCGCTGTCCTGTATACTTCTTGTCCTTGTCTTTCTGTTGCGCCTTTTTAGTATTTTTTTTACGTCGAGTCTACATTTCTCACTTTTATTCTTCTAGAGAATCAATGACGCGTTTTCACTCGTAGACTGCATAGATGAGAGTGGAGTGTGCGTCTTCACGATCTTCATCCCAGTTTATTATGAACGACAAACAAATTGTTTGATAGTCCTCTTACGTTTAGCTTAGCTTTGAGTAGAAGCGTCTTCACCTCATGGCTTTATCAATGCATACCCAGCTATACCTGAGGACAGCGCTTAATTGACGTAAAAATAATAAGAAACATTTATATATATATTTCAGACAATCAGGTTTACGGCGAACCAGAGCTATTATCTCATTTATAGTAACGGGTTGGGGACCAGTAGACATTACAGAGATAAGAAATGTTTCCAAGTGCATTCAAGTGACCTCAATGACACATTGAAGAATGCCAATTACACATCAAAATGGTACGACACAAGATATAAAACAAAGTAAGTATGTTCATTGATTCACAATGTCCCTAGGATAGACGTTTTAGTTAAAATATCCAACCAGTCCATTGAAGGGGTTAGTTGCCTTTTCAAAAACCGATAAGTGTCCACGAGCTTCACTGAAGCACGATCGCGTGCTTGAATTACTTTCTTTTTTAGCCAATAATTTGGGATATTACACTATTTCGAACTCTATACTGAGGCTTAAAAATAGGATGCATACAGAAGTACGAAAAACCCTCTTAAAGAAAGATAGGGATCAATATTATAGGAGAATAGTTACACCGTCTGAGTACCGCATATGTACTTGTGCGGAGGCCATATGGGTGTGCCATTGTGAATATACATAGCGAAAATACATTTTAACAATAATGCACAGGCTGCGAGAACAAGTAAATCTTTATTTCACGTGGACAGATTAAAGAAACATGAAGCAAACATCGCTTATACAAAATGAAAAAAAAAAAAAAAGAAATGAGGCTTTTTCGCAACTCCGGACAAAACAGTATGGAAGCTTCGCAAATTGAGCCAACTAAGGCTGACAACATACGCTTTAAAAAAACCTGTATCAAATATGATCTTCGGGACATTTTCAATATCTTGCGTGGCCTCTAACGAAAAAAGGATCAAGAGTATGCAGATGAATGAATCGTACTAAATCATTTATTAGTAAGTTTATTACATTGGCCTGCTTTCGATTATTTCCTCTTTAGAGACCATTAGAAGATGAAAATGGCCCGTGATATATTCAAGCGTGGCCTTTGAGTTCCGCAAATGTTGTTACTGTGTTTCTAAAGCTTTTAAACAAGAAATCATGCATGCATGTACACGTGGCGGGAAAAACAGTGAGAGAACCTCTGCAGGACTACAAGAGCGTGCCAAGTCCCTGCAATTTTCATACCGCGTTCCACATGGCGGCATGTGCTTCCAGAACAGCTCTGCTTGCCTTCAATTCCGTTCGGTGCACTCATAAAACAAATAGAAAACGTCGAAACGATAAGGCGATGAGGTGGAGTAGCACACTTGAAAGTGTAATTATGACACTCAAATTTTGAAGCAGGACGCCGTCAGGGATCTTGTCTTTTGGGCGGCTATCTAGCGATTGCCTCATCCGCTCAATACGGTTCATTTTATTTACATATTTTCGACATAAGATTTTCGTATGCTCTTCAATAACACAACACGTATATGACACTGGTCACTCTAATGAAACACCACAGCGAGTATGTGTCTCGATTCTGTATCGCCGTATACAACGTGGAAGTCGTCTGTTTCTTGTGTACCTCGTACGTTTGATTTCTCCCGAAACGCGCACAAGTGTTCTGTTTCTCGCCGACCTCAGGCAATGTTGCCTTTCGATTGGCATGCTCCTCCATTGTTCCGATGTACCAGCGACGCATTGTGGAACACAATTGCTCGCTGTATTACGTCGATGTCTGACTTCGCACAAGCGACAGAAAACGCGGCCCCTTCCCTTGAAATATTGCTATTCCGGTGTGTAAACCCAAAAACAAAAAGAACAACGCATTATTTGCCGATCTGTAGTCGGGTGTGCAGATATGGGAGTGACGGTGTCCCGCCATTAGGAGCATACGACGGGACACAGTCATTATCTCCCAATGTTCAAATATATTTTTTTTGGGTGTGTGATTGCGCATTGTATTACTAGTAGCAGATGTCACCATGCATGGATATTTTTTGCATCTCCATTTGTGTATTTGTTGTGTTAACATGTAAGTTAGCCCGCTACAATAATGCCCCCAGGGCAAAATATAGGTAACGAATAAATAAATAAATGAATAAAACATAAGTCAACAAAACCAGTCCCCACCCGGTGCTTAAATCGGCGTCAGCCCCTTGGTGAACAGTCTCTTGTGTAGATCCCACGCCGCAACCTTCGGCGATGCTATACCTTCAACATTGGGCAATCGCAGAAGGGGCGTTGGGCTCCCAACCCAACGGGAGACAAGGTGGTACTACAAGTGACGTCACTCAAAATACGGGGTGAGAGTTGAGGGTACGACGACCTTCGATTTGTTTTATTTTTTATTTAATAAAAATCAGCGCGCAAAAAGTAAAAGTGTTAGGTGTTCTTCGTTCTATAGGCGATACTGAGTAATTTTTGTAGTTAACTCACCAAACCCCTAAAATCGTTGCACCTCCTTTTTAATGAGTATAATCCGCACATACTGACAGCATGTATGTGACCATAATTATCAGGCAGCGAAAGTAAAATAAAATTTCATGGATGAAGAAAGAATAAAACAATTAAAACAGGGACAACCAGATCTTATGAAAGATCTGGTTGTATGGTCCCTGTTTTAATTGTTTTATTCTTTCTTCATCCATGACTTAAACCAACACGCTCTTCTACCAAGCAAAGAAAATTAGTTTCACTAAGGCAAGATTAAAATACGGGGAAAAGACACCCACCGTTCTGTGTAAAAAAAAAAAAAAAGGCCATTTACTGAAAGTGAAAACAGGCATAAGTTGCCGGCTCCCACTGGGAGCTGGGAAGAATTTACAAGAACGATCTCACAAAATAATCATCTATATGTGAACCAGTCTTATTTGTCCTTTCCCAAATATAGCGCTTTCGCATACCTGGCACATTCATAATAGCAAGCATATATACAAACCTTTTAGGGCTAAGAAATTTGTTTGTAGCATAGTTTGGAAAAATAGTTTATTTCTACAGATTCACGTGTCTGTGCCTAGTTTATTTTGGACGGTATTGAAGAAGAAGAATTGCGGTTGTGTGGATATTTATACCGCGTGTCGTTGGTCAGCCATTTCATAGTTGCGACGACTCACTCGCTGTGGATGAGCAATTTAGCCAGTGCAGTACAACCGCTAGGCTGGGGTCTTTAACGTGCACCACGCAGTAGGGGTACACGACGGCACGGCGGTACGATGCTCATCCAGATCAAAACGGGCAGGGGTGGGGATTGAACCTAGGATACTGCATCCTGCAGCGCGATCTTTCACTCCACGTGCTCCGAGCTGGTGTGCGCTAAAACACTCGGCCACGGATCTTTTTTTTTTTTTTTTTATTGCCACTCGGCCACCGATTCTCCCTTGGATGGTATTGTTTCGTGAAAATACAGCGTTATTTTTTATAATGAAGAACGATTTCTTTGTCAGGTTTAATTTAATTTACCTACGGAAAGATAAAAAAAAAAAAAAACTTAAACTTGAGAATTGACTTGAGGGTGATTTCAGATAAGATCGACCAAAGGATGGCTAGTCGACATTTTCAAATCAACTGATGTTTTTATATGTTATTGTCTAGTGTCTGGTATGAACGAATCCAAACTTAGTTTTGACTAGAAAAAATACTTGGGGACAGGAAAAATCGTAAGGCATGAGGTGGTGGACAGTTGCATTAACGCGCACTGATTGAGGGGGCCCGTTTGAGAGTGAATAACTAAAGCGATAACATTAGGAGAACTCTAATACGTTTTAGGCGCAAACTATGGGTATAGCTTGCTTGTAATATAAAGTAATCATATTTATTTAAAATTTATTTATTTTTCTAAAAATTGACAAACATGCCTGCTCGAACGACAAATGGCAAAATTTGGAGGTCTGTATCTCATGAAATAATTTAATCATTATGATATAATTTGCAGATATTATTCTACTAATATATAGCTAATATTTAAAAAATAACTAAGACATCTGTGTGATACAATAGTTAGGATATATTTAGTCAAACATGGAAAAAAAGTCAAACAAAGAAAAATTCTGATGCGAATAAAAAAAAACACCACCCTCGATTTTTTTTAAATTTAGGTAACCTGTTATACTCTATTTCGGCATTCATTTCCATTAAAAACATGTTGCATCATTTTATTGAGAAAGAAGATACAACTCCCCAAAGTCGGGTCCTTTTTCAAAGCCTACACTTAGTAGTGTTTTATACAAGAACTGACTCTGAGTTCCAGTTTCATGAAACCAACACACATCTTTTATATATTTTTATTCAGATGAGGCCAATGATAACTAAAGAAATCGTTCACACACTTAAATTGAGGAGAAACTACTGTGTACAAAGAGGTATCATATTACGGACTAGTGATCCGAGAAAAGATCATGCAGCCATCGGCCACTAGGAACTTTGTTTACTTTATTCTCCTGCGACACTATATGCTATTCCCTCTTCCGCTCTACCTTCATCTCTCTCTCTCTCTCTCATATATATCCCTGATATATATCCAGAACAAAAACATGTTCAAGCATTCCCTTTCTGCGTGGTAGTGTTCTGTGGCTAGCAAAAATCATTTCCTCGCTAAGCTCACGATTATGGCCAAATAGTTGCCGGAAACCGCAGACGACACTCGTCGCTAGTTCTGGCAAAACGGCCGATACAATCTTTTTTTCGCAATTCCCCGCTCGCTGTCAAGAACAAGGGGGTTCGCTTCAACCAGCAAAACATGGCCGCCGACGCCTGTTTACTGAGCAGTCATGCCTGTCGCCATCTCACTCGCTGGCGTCGCGGGCGATAATATCAGGCACAAAGGGGCACACCAACCGGCAGCATTATCCCTAAATACTCGAGCCTCGCGTAAATACATAGAGTGTAAACGCTGTCGCCATGTTATCGTAGTAAGACCGCCCCCCCCCTCCCCCAACGGGGGACTGCAGTACGCGACGGCGTACTAACACAACGGCGACGATATCGACATCGCGGGCTCCGAATTTTCCCATAGTTCTACTCCACGGGCATTTCTCGAAACGCTTGATATTGTGTACGCCCGCCTGGAAGGATTTCAGGCGCGTAGTTAAGATAAGGCGGTTCTCCGCGACAAAAGAAAGCAATTTCACAAAAGCTTAAAAGCGGCGGCGACGCGTGTGCGGTGAACGCTTGTAGTTTTGGTGTAGACAGGGTGTGTGTGTGTTCTCGTTGTTGACACCAGCCGGCGATAAGGCACTGCAGGCGGTAGCTCAGTACAGCAAGGGCTAATCCGAGTGACCATCAATGTAACCCCACCGCCAACCCCTCGCGAACCGGTCGCCGACATGGCTCAGGCTGTGTCATGAACCACGTGGTAGAAGCTCGGGTGCTTTCATATCAGCGCGTGGAGGGACGACAGTGCGATTCCGGAAAGTCTTTTTCGAAGGCCGCTGACCACAATTTTTTGTCTGGAGACTTTCCCTCTGTCTTCCTTTGACGTGGATCAAGCTTTGCCGACAGCCTCAGTTGTGACCTCTCTTTTCAAATGTACGTTTGCAGTGAGTGAGCTCCTCAGCCTCGGTCTTGTCACTTGTGCACCCAGTAGTTCTTTCACTTGGAAATTATATGCCATCAGTTGGGGTTTAATTTCTGTTATTTATGTATACATTATGAAGACGTCCTGAAGCTCCGAACGAGTGTTTTGTGCAGATTACTTTTGCAAACACAAAAAGACTAAACCAAAGCAGCGGAATTTTCGAAGTGTTGGCGAGTTGGACCTAAACTCGGTGAAGCAAATTCTTCCGCCTGACTGTTCCACCAAAGTGAGTGCGACGGACTACCTGTGCTACTGTTGCTTCATGCACATCACTAAGGAGATCTCGATGCGAAGCTCAGAGCAGTGCCCTGACATATTTGTGCCAGCTGAAGAAGCAATTGAAGATCTAAATCGCAGCGTACTACCTACAGATGTGTCGCCGCTGAGACAACCAAGCGTCGTAAGAAGTCGGGACAGGCCTGCCTATGTCAAGAGAAAGCAGACAGAACTGGAGCAGGTTGCTGTCAAGAATATACGCTCAAGGCTACGTATTGCGTACGACAGGGACGCACCATCGGGGTCGTCCGACCAACATGCTCCACATGCACTGAGTGGGTGGACAACTTTCGGCAGGCCTTTGAAACCGCCACCTCTCTCCGGGAACGTTGTCAACTGCTTACACTCCTGCCGTCAACACTGACGAAGAATGAGGTTCAAAAGATGATTCCACAGGCCTCAATGTACCTCATCAGTAAATCCCGAAAACTCATGGAAAAGCATGGCGTGTGGTATGAGCCGGATCCTTACACTAGGTGCAAGGTGAGCCCTGAGAACCTGTCTGCTGCCCTAGAGTACTTCACGAAAGACGAGCTACAATGTTCGCGCCAAAGTCCCAACCAGAAGGACGTTATCTCTGTCATGCTCAACGGAGAGAAAACGTTCGTGCCAAAGCGCTTCATGACACGCGCAATACGAGAGGCCTTCCGTATATACAAAGACAAGCATCCCGATTCCGGCGTTGGGCTAACGAAATTTTATTCGTTGCGCCCTAGATGGGTCCAATGTATTCCACACCAGGAAGTGTGCGTTTGTGTGCGCTGCGCCAATTATTATCTTTGTATTGCCGCTCTAGAGAACGTTACAGGCTCAACATTCAACACTGGTGAAATGAACTCGGCATTTCTGTGCGACACAGCAACAGAACTGTGCCTTCAAGGAGACTGTGATCACTGCCCAAAAGGCCAGTTTCTTACACTCCAGGAACTTGATATCCCGGAGGATGAAGAGATTGTGCTTGCAACATGGGAGTCCGGCGACCTTGTGAAAAAAACTTTGGAACCTGAGACTTTCCTAAAAGTCATCCAAGTGACGGTTGGAAGTTGGGTACTTCACAACCATATCCGGCAAACGCAAGGTAAAGCGATCTACGATGAAAAACAGTGCATGCAACGCGGGAGCATTGTCTTTCATTTTGACTTTGCTGAAAACTGGACCATCGTGCTTCCTGACGAAGTGAAAGCATATCACTGGAAAAAAAAAAACAAGTTTCGATATTTACATGTGTAGTGACGACAAGAAAATCTACAAACAGCTTTGCCATCATCAGTGAGGACCTGTGTCACGACGCCGCTCACGCTTGCTTGGCTCTAGAAAAAGTTAAGGAGTGGGTTGAAGACAACGTTGCGGTATACTCGTACGTGACGTACGTAAGTGACGGCGCCGCCAGTCATTTCAAGAATCGCTACCAGCTTCACCAATTTGCAAGGGACGATTGCCCAGAAGCCCAGTGGTTATTTTCTGCATCTGGACATGGGAAAAATGCATGTGACGGAGTTGCCGGACTCGTGAAGCACCAGGCCACGCTGAACAACCTGAGAGAACGTTCAGTAAGCGCAATTCAGACGGCCAGGACAATGGTGAGCGTTCTATCAAAGAAACTGAAAGGCGCGCATCTTGTATATCTGGACGAAAATGAGGTTGTTCGGTATCGTGAACAAAAAAAAGAAGAGTGGCTGACGGTGCGCGCCTTCCCTGGCATTCAGTCTTGGCACGCGTGGCGGCTCAGCAAGTCATCAACAGAAGGGACCTGTGACGTATATGTAGCACGGACAGTCGGATCTGCTTGGAAGCAACTTTATTAAATGGGTACAGCGAGGAAAACCTTAGCGTAAAGTGCAGAATTTGATTTCCCAAGGACTGCTCATTTTGAATGCAGGGACATCTTATTAATCACATTTTTCTTCACGGGGTATTTAACCTACTGTTTTTGTTGGTGGTTACTAATAATTTTTATCTGATCACTATAAACAAAACCCAAAATGTTATCCTCGAGGAGGATAAAATATATCGGCTTGCCACGATTCATTCATACACCGAGAGCATCGAGGCTGCTCCACTTAGGCACTATGGCATCCGTCACCTGAAATTGTTTGTAATCGTAAATACACAGCCAACCAAAATATCTTACTATTATATCTTTGTTTTTGTGTGTGGAAGTAAAGTTATTTATTTTACTCTAGATGTAAAATATACCGGAAGGTACAACTTCACACTGCATCTTTTCTCAAATCATTAGTCTCTAATATGATACCACTTTGTACGCTTATGTAAAATGCTGTATATAGTTTCTCCTCCCTTTTACTGTGTGACCGATCGCTCTTTTTATCAATGACCTCATCTGAATAAATGTATATAAAAGATTTGTGCAAGTTTCATGAAACTGGAACTCAGAGTCACTTCTTGTATAGGACACTGCTAAGTGTAGGCTTTGAAAAAGGACCCTACTTTGGGGAGTTGTATCTTCTTTCTGAATAAAATGATGCAACATGTTTTAATGGAAAAGAATGCCGAAATAGAGTATAACAGGTTACCTAAATTTTAAAAAAATCGAGGGTGGTGTTTTTTTTTTATTCGCATTGGAATTTTTCTTTGTTTGATTTTTTTCCCATGTTTGCCTAAATATATTGTAACTATTGTGTCACTCAGATACCTTATTTATTTTTTCAATAATAGCCATATATTAGTAAAATAATGTCTGCAAGTTATGTAATAATGATTAAATTATTTCATGACATACAGATTTCCAAAATTTGCCATTTGTCGTTCGAGCAGGCATGTTTGGCAATTTGTAGAAAACTAAATAGGTTTTTAATAAATATTATTACTTTATATTACAAGCAAGTTGTACCCATAGTTTGTTTGTAAAAAGTTTTAAAATTCTCCTAATTTTATTGTTTTAATAATTCACTTTCAAACTTGCCCCCTCCATCAGTGCGCGTTATTGCAACTGTCCACCTCTCCCTGCCTTACGATTTTTCTTGTCTCCAAATTTTTTTTCTGGTCAAAACTAAGTGTGAATTCGTTTATACCAGACACTAGACAATGTCATATGAAAACATCAGTTGATTTAAAAATGTCGACCAGCCACCCTTTGGTCGATCTTATCTGAAATCACCTTTGAGAAACTTGAGACGGAATTAAGTTTGAGCCCTTTTGATAAAAATTTAAGAAAAAATTTAAACGTTTGCTCATTTTCAAATTATGTGAAGTGAACCAGTTTACATAATTTGAAAATTAGCAGACGTTTAAATTTTTTTTTTTAAATTTCAAGCTAGGCGTTTGTATAGAGAACGAGTGAAGTTTATCCCACATTGTTGAAATAATTTTGGCTAATCTGAAGCTACGCAAACTGCTTAATGATAACTTTAGGTTTAGTTTTGGTTACTCTTTATATTTCTGATTTATGAATCTGAGATAGGCTAAATGCACAATGGCTGAAACGTATGTTACTATGGCATTAAAAAGCGTGAAATATAATGGTCTAATTAATATTTAACAAACGATGTTTGTTAAATATTAACTAGGCATTGCACGCCTGTTAAATATTAACTAGGTTTCGCACGCCTCCTCCTTTCCTATATCTTCTCTACTTTCTACCTTGCCCCGTATTGGCTCCACTCACAGCTTAGGAGAGGGGAGAGCTGAGAGGATTATCTTCCCTGCAGAAAATCGAGGTTGTACGTCGGACTTTAAGGTTAAACAAAATTTCTACATATAATTATTTTCCCATCTTGTGCTACAGGAAATCAAAAACGGAATTTGTTCAAGCTGTAAAACAAAGAGATTATAGTATTGAAAATACTATGCAACTGGGTACGTGCCTTACAATTTCTTGGAGTAATAATTAACACTTACATCGTCACCGCACGATTTCTGGCAAGCGTTGTGCGCGAACCAGTTGTCGCCGGGAAGCGCACCATGAATGCAGCAACTATTTATGAATTTATTAAGCACAGATTAATTGCCAGGTTGTCGACGGGACATCTGTCGACTAACAATATTGCTCTTGAATTTTTACGTGGTCTCCATTGATTTATTTACCCTTCACATATGTTTCAAGCTAAAGCTGCGTGCAAGTATCTTCTTTTTTTATATTTGAGTGCCGAGTGCAACTATGGTTTTGGTGTGGTTTACTACAATGTGATGTTCGTTTGAATAACTTATGTGGACGCACAGGGGTTAATATTAGCTCAAATAGACGTCACTAAGCTATCTTTAATCCAACATTTGGCGGTACACATAAACCGGTGTAAACTTACCAGGAATACGAGGTCGCTGATAGTATGCAAGTGACTCACATTACTAAAATGTTTCCACTCAATAATTCCGGTTAGCTCTGCAGCCTTTTCTACCTCATGTGTACGAGTAAATTAAAATTATTCAACGTATTTTTACCATATATCTTCTTGTTCTCTTTTTCAAAATATACGCACGTTCAGTTGTATACAACCCTTGAAATAGTTACCCTTTTCTTGTTTTTTTTTTAGATCGTACTTTCATATAATATAAAATTATTATTCCAGGTTTTATTATAAACAATCGATAAGATGCCGCTATCTAATGTACCTTTGACACTTATTTCGCTTTAAGCTGAAGCAACTAATTGTTCTCAGACTACCTAAACCATAGCCTCCTCTATACTCACAAAGGCAGGCACTTCGATGGCGGAGCCATAGAGTTCCCGTTCGCAGATTCGAAGCGCGAGGGTCTGGTAGCACAGAGAATTTCTCGGGGAGGCTGGTATTCAGCGTACAGCTTTTGCAGCGGCGAGGACCCTAAACATGGTTTTCAAACCCTAGGAGAAAAGAAGCGGTAGCGCGAGGAACGCGAGAAGCACGATCGGACATTCTATCGCTCGGGACAAGTGTGTTTCGGCGTCTCGCCACAGCGGGGCGCCCGTTACACGACTCTTGTCTGCCTCTCTACCTTTTAACTTTTTTCGGCCGCGTCACGTGACCATCTGCCAGGTTTTGCCAGTATAAAGGAAGCTACGCCTAAACTTACAAGCTTTTTTTTTCTAACAACGTCGCAGCGCGGCAATTGAGACCAATAAAATGGCGGCTGTCAGCTATTAAAGCGAACCGTGTAACCGTCTTAAATATTTCGTTCGCGCGCGGTTGATCTGCACGCTGCGGTGCAGGAATTTGTTTTTAATTACAGTTCTTTTCAATCTTTTCATGTGCTCCCAAGACTTACGTGCTGTGCTCGGTTGCTCTCCCCTGCATTAAGACTCCCCCAATTCAAAGCCAAGGCCCAGTGCATAAGTAAATTTTGACAAACGCGGGCAAGCTGCCGCTCCTCCCTTATTTTGAGACGTACCATTCTTGCTGGAGTGCTTGTTCAGCGAGAGCATGTTTCGAAACCGCGATCTAGCGTTACCCTGTAAGTTGAAGAGTACGCAAATTATAGATTACTGTTTATTTCTTAAATACTTCTTGTAATTATTTTAATTCCTACGTAGTTTTTGTGTAGGTTATGGGAAACATAAAGTACATCATATTAAAACCTGGAGTAAGCTATTAGGAATATGTGGCAGACAGAAAAAAAACGAGTCGCAGTTGCTTGCAGTGGTATCAACTTCCAACGCCTGTGAAGAAAATGCACAAACAAGAAGTTACGCCATTCAAGACGGACAGAAAGTTACGCACAAAAGCTATATAGGAAACCTTTTCCTTTCGTTTTTATTCGGGACCTGAACGTGGAAGATTTCCGCCACCAGCATTCGCGAACCAGAAAGTTCAATGGCGTCTTCACCTGGCTACATTGTGGGCATTCGACGGCCTCAGTCGAAAGGCTCAGTTATACTCCAACGTTGAGCGAAGCGAACGCAGCGTACTGCAGAAAACACGCGTTTGATGAGCCGGCGAGCAGAACTCGATGTCTGCCACCAATCAGTATTTGTGTGCGCTGCGCTCGCTACACTCGACGTCGAATCATACCAGAGCCTTAACACAATATTTTCAAAAGTTCACCACAGCAGCACTGGCGGTCGCCATTTTTCGGGGCACGAAGCGTGGGATTTAATCCGAGTTTTTGCCAACCGCTGTTGCACCACTAGTCTTTGAGATCAGCTCAGTGCACGTGCTCAAACAGCGGCATACTCAGAAAGTTGACCCAGCAGCTATTAGTGTAGAAACTTTTAAATGCGTTCTATTATCCGTGGCTACATACTCATTTTCTGTCTTCTTTACTTGTTTTTTCTAATTGCTGACGCCTTTTATTGTTGATTGCAATTATAGCTGTTTCTGGCATTTTTTAAAATTATTTTGCTCTGTGTAGTTTTGGGCGTTAACGCTACACGCCTAGTCCTGACTCAAACCGGATCCGTGCGCATGGTGTGGAGGTCACAACGTGCCACTTAATTAAAAAAATTATCCTCTATTTTTCTTTCAAGGCCAGCCAAAGCCTAAAGCCACATCACCATATGGAAGCTGCTACGATCTCAATTTCAACTTCTTCTGCGAATCAACAGGCTGCATCATATTTCATCTGGAATGTGGGCGAAGTCCCTTCACTGAATATTCAGAAAACTACGTTATATTCAGCAATCCCTTTTGTCATGTATTGAGATCACTACGAAATGATGGCGATGATGCATGTGGGTATAATGAAATGAGTTGACCTACCGCAGCAACTTATAAATAACATTTCTAGGCGTAAGATAAATTGATTGAATTTAAATATACGCAAGATATTCGACATCTTGGTTTAAAACAGTGCGACCAAAAACAAGGACAAAGTCAAGACGAGACAAACAACAGAGCTGTCATCTGTCTTGTCTTAACTTTGTTGTTGTTTTCTCGCGCTGTTTTAAACCAAGATGCTAGTGAATTGAGTAGTCCAAACATACATTTTAGCAAGATATTCAAAGTCGTTTCGGCTTTGAATTCGATTGTCGGTTCCTGGACGCCACGTGGCGTCCAGGAACCGACAACTAAGCTTTCAATGATTGTAAAAATGTTCCAAATGCCGGGAGAATTCATCCAAGCGAAGGGTGATAATCTAAAAAGTTTACTCCGACTTAAAACAAAACAAGAAAGCTATAACAAAAAGATAGATGTCTTGCTACCTATGCAAGTGGCATCTTCAGAATGAACTGACACAAATGAAGCAAGAGCCCTCTTCTATACAAACTAAAAGCTATAGACTTTTCTATAGCTGTCACCCAGAGTTAAATTCCGAATCACTGGGGTGTTGACTCATGTCCGCCGCCTGATATTCCGTTGAAGAAAGCAACTGCGCATGCTCAGAACGCGGTTCACAGCCCAGTAGACAAGGATGGCAGCGCGCAGAAGGTGATCATTGGAAGGATCTGTAGACGTTTACAAGTACGGCCTTTGGGCGCCGCCATCTTGCTCCTTGTGTGGGTATATCCTATGAGAGTCAAGCGTTTCTGAGGCGTGCCCACAAATTCCAGACTGGCGAAAAAAAAAGCGTTTTCCATTTACGGTGGCCAGACTAGCTCTTAACGCGTGGCTCCTTGCTAAAGTCCCTAAGATCCGTCGTTGTCGGCGTGGCAGGCAGGCTTGCACACTACCATGATGCTGGCCCCATGCGGAAACTTATATGACCCCTTTAATACTCACGCCAAAGTCTGGAGCGGTCCTTGTGATATCAACGTTTGGTGAATATACTGAAGCATTTCAACAGGTCAGGTGAAGCGTAAAGAAGTATTGGGAGCTGAAATTGAATAGATCCTAGGACACTACTCCCTCAGCCACGAACCTGGCGCAGAGTTGCAGTCCTAACGCTTGTGTAGCTACCAAGTTCGTCCCATGCTAATATTAAAAGATACTCCTCTTATTTTTTGCTTTTTTCACTAAAGTAAAAAAAAAGAAAGTCATAAATGAAGTACGGAATAAAGGTACCAATAGGCCGGAGGACATTATAGTTTATTAAATATGCAAATACATCACCATGTCCCGATTTCATGGGTCCTAAATCCTGGAGATCTGAATTTGGTGCCACCCCGACTGCAGCTAATATTCGAAGCTTCAGTTGAAGTACAGGGCATAAAAAATAAAACACTCGATTAAAATAATGTAGTGCAACGCCCTTAATACAAGGGTAGAAACAGCTTTACTAGCGGAGACCAGCGGTCAAGTCGTGTGTGCTATCGTATATTCTAATTTTAGTATTTTATTTCTACCTAGACACAAGGCCACGGATGAAAGATTAGACTGGTTTTCCTGATTTTATATCTTGCTAATTATTTTCACTCTACTTGAAGAACCTATCAAGTGACGAGGATAAAACCCCTTATTGCTTGTTGATTGTGGAAAAGACGTCAGCCATTTTGCTCAATCTTTGTTTTAATTTTCATAGACATGCATATATTGAAAGTGCTCTTTAATAAGCTCGTTCGGATCCTAAACACCAGGAGAGAGGTGATATGGTGCAGCATTACTAATCGCCAAAGCTCGCAGTGATAGCTACACTGATGAACATAGAGTTTAAAATCTCACAAAAATATATTTAAGTGCTCAACATCATACATTTGAAAGCATATTTAAACGATTAAACTCGGTTGGTAAATCTTGAATCGCATTTTCGTTTGTGCACAGTTTAAAAGGAATCTCTTAATTTTTTCTTATTGAACTTTTTGAAGTGAGGCAAACTTATGTTTATATTTTCGCCCTGAAACCGCTTGTTTTTCGTCTGTTTTATGCTAAGCGAACTGTTATATACTAAACTGCGCGTCTTGCCCATTGTTTCAAAGTATCGTTTTTTTTTCAGCTTGTGAAATTTGGTTGAGGGAAGATTGGTTAAAAAATGTGACGATTCCCCAAGTCGCTACAAAAGCAGGAAGCAAAGAAACTGGGGAAAAGGAGAAAAAGCTTGACAGTTCGAGTAAAACTACGTATTTGTATGATTCCTTATTTAAGGAACTTCCCTCCAGCTGTCGATACGCATTTCTTCTCAACTGTGGATATCCGACATACCGAATTTATGACAAGGAAGATTGCGATAAAATAAATGAAGCAGAAAATGCTGCATCAGGTGACGCAAACGGAAGTAATTAGCACAATAATTTCTGCAAAAACGCTTTCCGTCTCTTTATCGGCCATGGCAATTAAACTATCAACATCGTTTCTTTCGAGGTTGTTTTTGGTTCCTCCACGAATGTGAGCCAGCATGGTATCTTAGACAGTCATTAAACACTGAGAATGATTTTGAGCAAGTGCAGAAAGCAGGAGGACTTTGTGCGGTGTAATAGCTCGAGAAAAAATCTTGCACACCGCAGTGCGGGAATAAAAAAAGTGGACGAGTGATGAAAAAGGAAACTTTAGCGAGGAGTACCTAAGGTAGACTTGGTGTCTGTTTTGTCGAATAAAAAACGTAATAAAGTATTTTTTGCTTTTCAATTGCCATTTGTGACTTAAAAAAGGTTGCTGTAAATAAAACAAAGGGATCTGCGCTTCTGCGGTGCTTGGCAACAGACTACATTGAATTGCGATAGCATTGCTTGTCTTCTATGAAGGCAGCATGCAGCTGATTAAGTTGAGTCTACGGCTATAGAAGGCAATGTCGCGTCAAATGGTCGGCCATTTTCATTCCACGTAAATGGTAATACTCAGCAAATTGACACTTCTGTTTAGGTATATCCTTGTCAGACAACTTGTTCCTCTTGCAATGCGCTGTGAAGACTGCGCTACGCTCTAAAAAAAAGGGAGTAGTACTTCCTCCCTTAAAGTAGGAACTCGCATGTATCATATATTGCTCTACAAAGGGAGGAAATTTCCTCTTACGAAACGGGAGGAAATTTTCTCCCCCAGTAAGGGAGGAAAGTTGCCACCTATTTTTGCTCGTAGACAAAACGTTCCTCCTCTAAGGGAGGAAAATCGCCACCTTTTTTCGCCCAATGGAGGAAACTTTCTCCCCTCGCGTAGTTAATATAGCTTCCACCAGATGGCGCTCAAAACAGAATAAAAAATGTTGGTGAAGTGCCAATTTGTTTTCCAATGTCCCACACCCTGGACCGCTACATGGTAAATACAAATACAACACTAAACACAGAATACACGAAACACAAGCAGAACACCCCACAACAGCAACAACGCAGCAATCTGCAATCTGCTGATGACACCAAACGTGTCATCAGCAGATTGACACGTTTGTTGTCGCTGCGTTGTTGCTGTTGAACAACGCAGCGACACCCCAACGCAGAACCCCCCACAACAGCAACAACGCAGCGACACCAAACGTGTCAATCAGCAGATTGACACGTTTGGTGTCGCTGCGTTGTTGCTGTTGTTGGGTGTTCTGCTTGTGTTTCGTGTATTCTGTGTGTTTAGTGTTGTACTTGTATTTACCATGTAGCGGTCCAGGGTGTGGGACATTGGAAAACAAGTTGGCACTTCACCAACATTTTTTTTCTGTTTTGAGCGCCATCTGGTGGAAGCTATCTTAACTACGCGAGGGGAGAAAGTGCCAATCTGCTGATTGACACGTTTGGTGTCAATCACCACGTAACACGTGCTGATTGACACCAAATGTGTTACGATTGACACATCAGCAATCGTAACACGTGCGCTGAATTCGCACTCTCTCTATATATGGCAGTCTTATTTTTGAATCCGATTTGGCTGATGACTGCCATAATTTGTCGCATAAACACGGAGAGGCGGAGCAAATATTACTCGTACTTGATACATTATTTTAATTGTCTCTTGGAATAGCCCCCATCTCTTAATTCGACACCCTGATCAAATCAAATGTAGATCATTAGGCTAATTAACTAAAATTTAATTATTTTTTTAAAATAAGTTCGAAGAATCATGTTGGCAATGCAGTGTTGAAATGCAGTACACTGGTGCTGAAATTTGCCACCGAGCTTTTGCTTGATTGGAGTGTTCAGTGCCAGTGTAATCTATTTTAAGTTTTGGCGGGGCAATAATTATTTAAATTGTGGCACGAGAATTTAAATGAATTTTTCAAACAAACATTATTACTGGCTTTAAAAAGACTCGTTGCAAGAGCAGAAGACATATCTGGGGCCATGCTTTGTCACCCGTATTAGAGAAATTGAAAAGTGTTTTAATTTTCTAACCTGCAGCGCTTTTACCATAAAAAATTAAGTGCTGGGAGCGATAAGGGCCCACGAACCATGACTTTGGTATCGCAACCGCTTAAAAACATCACGTTGCCCAAGTCAGAAAGATAAAAAGCCCTGTGTCGAGAGTTTTAGATCGTTCAGTCACTTCCGCAACTATATAAGCAATCCGTTATGGGTATGGCCTCCGCTACCAAAACCGTAGCGGAGCCGCGTTTGCATGTTTTAAAGAACTTTTACAACCCGTTGCAGAATATAACGTTACGAGAGCTAACGCAATGCAAGTATCTCGGACACTAAAGCTAAAATAAAAGGTTGTACAGCAATTGTTAGTAATATTCTATTTATGTCGCTATCTAAATAGAACATTAATTTATTATCGAGTAAGCTTATGTTCATCCTTGCTTCTTTTAAAATTACGTCCAGTACATTTGCGACCAGTAGACTTGAGATCCACGCTGTTGACGCCAGCTCGGCTCGGTCGTGTACTACAGCCGGCCAGCGCTTGTTTCGCGACACGAGAGAAACCGCGCGATAAGAGACTATAAGTCGGCCGCATAAAAGAAAACAAAAGCATAGAGTAATATACACAAGGTAAAGAGCGGACACTGCCATAGGCCCCAGCGGCCCAGATAGACCAGTGACAGGTAGCACTGCTAGCGGACGGTATTAAATATAATCTGATTACGTTTCCGGTCAAGTTAGTTTCGGTTTCGGCTTGGGCGTTTCTGCTCCGGTTTCTCCGGTACCCTTCTCTCTCTCTTTCCTCCCCGCTTCGCTCGGCTCTCGGAAGCTCCTTGACTCCCGAAGCCGCTGTTTTTTTGTTTTTTTTTAACAATAACGTACTTTTGCTTTATTTTTTTCTTACGATAGAGTCCGTGCAAGATGTGTCAAACAATATTTCAACCTACTTTACAAAGCAGAAGTATATATATTTCTTGTTCTTTTTCTATTGTAAAGCATTGAAGTTACACAATCGCCGCATTGACTCGTGGCTGGTGGAGCATTTTGGGGTCAACAACATTAAGTGGTTCGAACACATTTTATTGGACCACATTCATGCATACATGATTTACTTCAGAAGCTTTGTATGTTTTATACGAAAGAGATCGATACTCACAAAAATAAATGAATATGAAGGACTTCGGCATATCGTACACTTCGTAATAGATTCTTAGCGGAACCAAGTTAACAAAACCTTTTCACGGAGAACATGCTGTATGATACATTCACTTTTACGACGACTCGGGTACGGGAAGTAAGTGCAAAAATAAATAAGACATCGTTATCATTACCAGTCATAAGAGTATTATAACGGTGCGAAGCACACGCCGGATAGTACAAATTTCCGATTTCCGGCAAATATAAAAAACACCAATTTGCATAGCCTCAAACTCACTGCGGGCGAGCCATTACGAAACAATGAGAACTTTATTCAAAATCTGACAAGATTCAACGTCCCTAAACATTACCCGAAATTGTTCAAAAAAGAAATATGGCTTTATAAAAAAGCGGCTAAAAAACTATGGACAGTGGATACAAAAGTGGATACATTTTCTTTCAAATATTTTTAGCCTCTATACACTATTTTATATCGAAATTTTGTAGAAAGTGGACAAATAGTTTTGTTAGGGAGCCGTCATACAGATTTGCTGGAAAAAGGGGAAACAGATATTTGGAGAGCAAGCTGCACCGCCCACTTAATAAGCAGTTTTTTTTTTTGTTTTTGGTTTGGCAACCGCCTCTGTTAATACACTATTAACAGTTATACCTGTCTCGTTCTTACTAGCCACTGAAGAGTGCAACCGAACTTTGTCCAAATTCCGGTTAAGAAATCAAACATGTCAACACAAGTGTATTCTGCAAAACAATTTTAAAAACCCTTTGTGGTACTCCTCTGGGCAAAGGCTAAAACCACCCAGACCTCAAAGTGTGCTATACAAGAGCAAGCTGCACCGCCCACTTAATAAGCAGTTTTTTTTTGGTTTGGCAACCGCCTCTGTTAATACACTATTAACAGTTATACCTGTCTCGTTCTTACTAGCCACTGAAGAGTGCAACCGAACTTTGTCCAAATTCCGGTTAAGAAATCAAACATGTCAACACAAGTGTATTCTGCAAAACAATTTTAAAAACCCTTTGTGGTACTCCTCTGGGCAAAGGCTAAAACCACCCAGACCTCAAAGTGTGCTATACAAGGCGGCACACACTCCTCGAACATGTGTCACACTCTCTGTTATGGGAAGAAAGTGATTTTCTAGTTGCTGAATGATATGAAAGGCAGCCTGGTGATGGTACTACTAAGTTCCCGAACATTTTCCAGGCACGCGGTATGCTTTAGGAACAAGACAGTACTGGTGAGGCGTGGTCAAGTTATTAGACTCATCTGATAGCAGCTGAGAACAGCCACAGCTGTAAGTTGTCTGTTCAAGCAAAAGCTTGATCAAATAGCCCCAAGCGTAATAAAAAAGTGGACTAGTCATCAATTAATGTTAGACCTGATGTCTGATGCCAGCTCAGATATATCCTATAGTGGCAGGAAGGTATCAATTGGAAGACGTTCCACAATGTCTGAAATTAACCTTTCATGGTGCGAAGATATTTGCAACTCCTTTAGGAGGTCCCAGCCTTGTCACCCTCTACGTTTTCATTGTCCGACAGTTTGAACAGTTTCTTTATCCAGAGCTGTTTTAGTCCTGAGGTGAACTGATGCACATTTGGGTTTGTGTTGCAGCCCAGCCTTTGTCGTAGATAGCTCCAAAAACGTTCTCAAGTGTGTCTTACTGCAGGCGTCGTGTAAGCAGGAACTTAAAATCATGGCTGCTTGAAAGCTCATCCCAGAGCATGAGGACACTTTTTATAGTAACTTGCCACCCAATGATGGCTTATGGCTGCCTCCTACTTTGGAACTGCCATGCTGAAATCCTTTCGAGTTACTGGTGGAGAAAATCAAGTATTTCAGATTCTCCC